GACCCGCGCTACCGAGGAGTAACCGAGGCGGCTTTTCCTGGCCGGCTCATTTTACGGCATTTCCAGTAACCGCTTTTAATTTACTTGTCACTCCCTGACATGACAGCGGTGTTATTGCATTGCTTAGGAAATGCGGGACTGGTCTGTGGCGCGCAAATTCTCAGCGAGGACGTGGACCCTTCATTATTTTAAAATAACTTAGATGGGGTTTAGGAACCACAGAAAATGAAGTTTCTCCTTAATTCTGTTGATACTTCTGCAGTGCTTGGAAACACAGAGCTTGGGTGAAGTCACGAAATCCATAAAAAAATATCTAGGGAAATTATGATTCTGGGGAAATGCTGGCCTACATGTCTTCTGCATAATGTCAAAGGGGAAAGTAGAAACATGAAATGTGGTTACCCTCATTTGCGAGTATCTGATTCATTGTGCTCAAGTGAGTCGCCTATAATAGTCACATTTCTACAGTAGCCAAACCAAGGTGTGGACCGCCACTCTGGGATTTTATTCCTATACCAAACTCCTACATATATAGATACTTATCGTCTACTTGAAAAGTATAGTAAAGTAGAAAAAAGGGTAAACACAGCTCCAGGCGTCAGAGGTCTTCGTAGAGGTTTGGCTTACTCACTTGCAGTCTTTTTTTCTGGAATTTTGTATACACAGTTGAGATCAAGCTGAATATATTGAATTTTAAATAGCATTACTCTAATTATAAAATTTAAAAAAAGATGCTTATTGGACAGTTTAGTTGTTAAACATATTTTTCTAGCATAATTTACATGATATATTGCCAAAGCAGAGTTTATTAATCTTTACAGATTTAAAAAGAAATGATGACTCAGGCCATTCTTAATAAACTTTAATGATGCAGAAAACCATTACTGTAGTTCCTTGGAATTGAAAAGGTCTTATGTTGCTCTTTGTAAGTCTGCTTTAGTGTTTGAGAAGAAATTGTTTTTATTATTTCTTTTGGCTCCTTTTTTTCTTTGCAATGTTGTAAAACTGGGCTTCTTAACTTGGGGGCCAGTGGTCTTGGGGTGGGAGAGTCAGTCTTCAAATTCTCTGAAATAACATGCAACATCATACATGCATGTGCATCATTCTCAGATGGGTCCGTAACCTCCCAAAAGGTAAGATTTACTAGTATTGACATATAGTCATTGTTAATATTTGTTATGACAGCTTCAATTATTGTTTTAAATTATGTTCAAACAGCAAAAGTGTTGCTCCTGAGCTGTGAGACGAAGATTGTTTCAAGAAATACCTGGCTTGAGGCAGAAACTCAGCTGAAGTAACTAATGCAGGGCGACAACTTCTCCTTGACTCTAGAATCCTCTTGGTAAAACATATTTCAATTGGATTTGCAACTGTGTGAAAAAGAGTTTTTAATTTGAGGTTCAGGAATTGGCTTTAGGACAATATTTCTCAAAGTAAAAACCTGAGGTACTTGTTGAAACTGTAAATGTCTGTGTCTTTTACGTAGAGATTCTGATTTAGATCTTGGGTGGAACCTAAGAACTTCCTTCTTAATAAGCATGTTTAGTGAGTTTTTGGCATCCTTAGATTTGAGACCCCCCTAATTATATGGGGGGGTTTTCTGGCAGAGGATTCATAATTTTCATCAGATTTGCAAAGGGAACATGACTTTAAAAATCTAGAGAAACACTGGGATAAGGGAAAACCACTTTTGTTGGTATCCTTGACGCTTCAATATGGGAAGCCTCTCATATTGTTTCTTCACCCTGGTCTTACATTCACATGGCACTGTTTTTCCTCCCTCAACTTCTCATTGTTTCTCTTCCACCAAAATCTTTTTTGGTTGTGCTTAGTGAAACCCCTGTGTCATGGAACAGACATTCTTATGATATTCACATATATTCTTGATTTAACTAAACCCTGGTCTGCCATGCAAGTTAGGAAAATAATTTGGCAGATTTAACAGAGTCCAGATAACAGTGGTTTGAACAAGATAGTTTATTTCTTTCTCATATAATAGTCTGATTTGATAGGTGGCTGTCGGTGAAGGAGGTGGATAGTAAGTGGCTGTGATCTATTGGGTCATTTAGTAACCCAGGTTCATTCCATCTTTTTGCCCCACATCCGCTAGGGGGCAATGTCATCCTCCTTATGGTGGAAGGTGGTTTACTCTCACAGTATCTGCATTGCAGGCCATTGGAAGGGGAAAGGAAGTGGGGGAGGCAAGCAGCTCTCTTTTTAAAGATGTGACCTGGAAGTTACATACATCTCTTTTATTCAGATCCTTTTTGCTGTAATTTAGTGACACGGCTATGCCTGGCTACAAGGGAGACTGGGAAGTGACTGTCTGGGTTGTCTTGTAGCCAGCAAAGACTTCAACTCTCTGGCAAGTAGAAGGGGGGACTGGATGTTGGAAGGTAATTATCAGTCTCTGCTATATTGGCTTATTTAAGTTTTCAGTTTTAAAGTGTTTATCTGTTATAACCATATTCTCATTTCTATTTTGGGTTTTTGTTTTTTGTTTTTTCTGTTTTCACTGGCCAGTGGCTTGTATATTTATTTCACTATTCACAAAATCAGCTCCTGGCTTTGTCAGCTGTTTTTGTTTGTTTGCTTTCTTATTCATTAGTTTCTTGCTTTATTATTTCTGCCTCTTACTTTCCTATGGTTTGCTTGCTAATTTTTTTCTTCTTTAGCTGAATGTTTAATATTTGCATTCTTTCTGAAAATTTTACTTGAAAGTATTTAGGGATATAAATTGAATCTCTTTAAATCTTTGGCAGCAACCCCATGCATTTTTAATATATAATACTCTCATTTTTTAACTCATTGGCAATTATATTTTAAAGTTTTCTCTTAGACTCAATAGCTACTAAGGCAGGCCTATTTTAATTTCCAGGCAACAGGTTTTTCCTCTCTTCCAGACTTCCATTTACATTTATAATTCTGTTGCATCATGGTTAGAGAATGTAGTCTATTCAAATTTCTTCTTTCTCTTTTTTTTTTTTTTTTTTTGCAGCTTGCCATTATGGGGATCCAAACTCGTGACCTTAGTGTTATAAGGCTGCTCTAACCAACTGAGCTAACTGGCCAGCCCAAATTTCTTCTTTTTGATTTCGATTGAGATTTTTCTTTTATGGTCAGTGTTCTTTGTGGTATATGAGTATGGTTAATTTTAACAAATGTTCTGTGAATGCCTGAAAATAACTTTTGAGTAGAAGTTTCAATATGCTCATCTCTATTTAATTTCTACATCTCTGATGTTCTTTGCATTCATGGCAGCCTTGATTTGTACATTAGTATTCTTTATTTTCACAATATAATGATTAATTACTGCAAGTATCATTTCTGATGAGCTTCTGATTGGCATAAACTGTAAAGTGAGGTTAATTTCTGCTATGTTTATTGAGCAAAAGCTACTGAACCTTAGGGGAAGCATAGTGTCCATTCAGGTCAGGAGCAGATTCAGTATATTTAAGTATAACAAAGTCCCTAATTAAAGGGTCATATAATTGCCTGTAACACTTTGCGTGAGATAGAGTTTCTCAAAAACTCAGTACTTGTTATGTCACTGCCCTTTCATTCCTGAGGCTAATATTATCATTCAGGGAGAATTTATATTAACAATCCATACCATTTAGTATAAGGAAATACATGTCAGGCACCCTTCAATCAGCATCAGCAAGGCAGCAGCATCATTTAAGAAGGGGGACAGGGAAGGGGAAATGGTACCTAGATGTCTTTCATAGGTTAGCAGATGGTCATATATCTGGCTATTGTGGCCCATATATTTGTATTTTTTGACTGGCTACCAATTAGTTAACTCATATTTGTGGATAGGTATTTTCTTATTTTTTTGTTATTTGTACCTTTTCAGTCTCATCATAGACCTATAGACTTTCTCTATTAACCTTTCTCTATTTACCTTTTTCTATTCGTTGTTTTTGATTCTTTTTATTGTACTCTAATATGAATAGTATTTTTTCTACTTTCTACCAACTTTGATGGATTCTACTGTCTATTGTTATACGAAACTATGTGCTTAAGTTGTAGTATTGCTTCCAAATTTAGGCATCTCCATTTTCTCTGTTATTTTGAGCCTTGGCATAAATATCCTGGAATGTATCCTGGAATGATGATATATTCTAGATCAGTGTGTCTTAAACCTTAATGTGTACATACGAATCACCTAGGGATCTTATTGAAAGGTTCTGGAGTTGGGCCTGAGATGTTGCATTTTTCACAAGCTTTCTGGTGATATTGGTGCTGCTGCTCTTCAGACCTCACTTTTGACCAGGAAAACTCTTGGGTATAGATTCTTAATGGAGGCAAATTGCCTGTATGAGGCAGAGACAGATACAGCATAATTCACCATGGACTCCTTTGGCCCCCAGAGGCCCTATTACTGGGTAGGGACAGTGTCAGAACTGCCTAGGAAACTGTCATTACAAAGTAGAATTTCACAAGATTTGGAAAGCTCAATTCTTACTGTGCCACTGCCCTTTTATACTCTGGGCTTGTAACATCATTCTGGAAGTACGTATGTGATCCATACACTTGTTAAGACAATGTTTGCAAACATTAGGCTCTTCTTGTTTTTGAACCAAATTCAGCATCTGCAAGGCCATATCCTTAACCAAAGATAGAAAAGCATAGTGTCCAGGCATACCTGAATAAGATCTCTGCCACCCTGTTTCTCCATAGTATAAAACCTTTATTATACATACATCTTTTTTCAATATAAAAACATTACTGCTTAATGTTTTGTTCATTGAATTCTGTATCCCTTCTATTATTATTGTTATTCCTGCTTCTTTTTTATTTGGATCTGCCTGATATAGAAAGGACAGGTAAGGATCTGTTTGTATATGAGATTGGGAAGGGCATTCAAGGTTTCTAATATTATTTAAATTTGAAGTTGTGTTCTCTTTACATGAAACTGACATTTCTGAACATTTTAGGAATTTGACTCGTCACAGGAAAGGCAGGAGAAAGAGATTCTTGGACTATTTCATTGTTAGATGTGTAGGTGATTGTGGCAAAGAAGGAATTGAGTAATTTTTTTCACTTCACACAGCATATTGATTTAGTGGAAGAGGTGTGGGCTTTGGAATTAGATTGATTTGGAGTCGTGCATGGCGATAAGTAAATAGTTTAATTTTTCTAGGCCTCAGTTTCCTCATTCCTCATCTGAAGAATGGGAATGTAATTCCCGATGGGTTGATGTGAAAATTAAATGAGAAAGCATTGTAAAAGCCCTTTGTACAATGTCTGGCCTGCTAGTTGTGACTACATTTAATGGAGTTAAAATCTCAAGATCTCCAGGAGCAAGGATCTTTGTCCCTCACTGATCTTGATTGTTACTCTTGTATTCCTTTAGGGAGGTCATGCTCACTTGTCTGTCAGAATTTCACCTTGGTGAGTCTGAAATTCCCAAGGCAGGATTGTTTTCATGGCTTATTTCTCTTCCACAGATATGTCTTTTTAGGACTACTCTTTCTAGAGAACGGAATACAGAGGCAGAGATTATGGCTGCTGTGGTTTTTTCAGTTGGACCTCTGGTGAGTTGGGGTTTGCTCTGTTTCTGAGCTGCTGTCTTGATTTGAGAGCATGTCTACTTTTTCTGAAGTCTTGTGACTTCTCTACCTCACCCTCACCCTTTCTGGGAACTGAACCAAACTGATTTATGAAAATTGGGTTCATTGCAGTAAAGCCTGTAATCTAGAGGAGGATTCACTATACTTATTGAACCAAATATCAGGATACACGATCTTTCCAAAAATATCTGGGCCATCTTTAATTATGTTAGTCATCTTTAATTTTTATGTTAAATTTGTATTGTTCCCAGGAAACTTCAGTTATTTATGAGTTAGTAGGATGGAATATTTTTTAATTGGGATATTTGGTTTAGGAAATTTTGGAGAAAAAATATATGTACACACACACACACGCGCACACACACGCACACACCCCCGACCCTAATTCATAAGGACCATTCCTCTTGTGCCACTCTTAGTCATCTCTTTCATACCCATTAAGAAGTGACCAAATTTAATGGATGACATGGAGAGAAAGATGTTTAAGACACGGGGCCGGCCTGTGGCTCACTCGGGAGAGTGCGGTGCTGATAACACCAAGGCCACGGGTTCGGATCCCACATAGGGATGGCTGGTTCGCTCACTGGGTGAGCGTGGTGCTGACAACACCAAGTCAAGGGTTAAGATCCCCTTACCGGTCATCTTTTAAAAAAAAAAAAATGATGTTTAAGACACAACGCTGGCCCTTAGAGAGCTTATAGTCTCATTGAGGTAAGGCATACAAAAGAAATAGTTACATAATTTATTTAGGTGAGTAATAGTTGCTTAGCAGTATGGTAAACATGAATCTTATGTAAGAAAAGAAATGGGACATTAGTGTAGGCTGATTTGGTCATGGAAAGCTCATGAGGAGAGTTAGATTTAAGCTGGTATTCAGTTATGGAGAGGGGGGCGTTTAAATTGTCGCAAAGTGTTTGTGAGGATACTTCAGGTGAGAAGGGAGACTAAGGGTAGAGGACAGTGCGTAAGCTGGTGATTCAAGTTGGAGAGTTGTGACAGATAGAGCTGGAAATTAGATATTTAAAATGAATCTTTTAATGTTTCCTGAAGAAATTTAAGTGTGTGTGGGTGTATGTATTTGGGATGAATATTAAGTGATAAAAGCTGTGTTTTAGCAGTGACTTTTTGAAATAGGAGATTCAGAGGAAAGGTAATACCAACAAATATAATTTGTTGTAGTAATGATGTCATAACCTGTAGTAGTGATCTTTTATTCTTTGTAGCCAGAATATATAACATGAAAATAGTCTTTTAAAAATACCCTTGAAAATATAAATAAAAACCAAAATGTTGCACTTGATACTTCCCACTGAACTTGTCTAGTCATGTATCATGGCATGATCAAACCCATTCTTAATTATCAGAAGTTGAGGTACACATCGTTTATTTTCTAGAAGGTTGATATTTGTACTTTTTAGACAAGAACTTGGGAGGTGGGAACTAGGATAACATTTCTCCTAATGAAATTTAAGTAAATAGTTTTATTACATAATTTTTTAAAATGACAGGAAATCTGAAATGGATAAGTACTACTAGATGGTATAGTAGAATTTCATTTTTTAAAATAAAATCAGGTCCTCATGGGGATATAGTTTCTAAGGTTTGAAAGAAAACAATATTTTAAGAGGTCCCTGAAATATTTCCTGAGTGGCTCCTGAGACATGTAGCTCCTAGACACTAATGATTTTTCAATTGTAGAAAACAGATAGTGTTAGTAGGTTTGGGATATTATTCTCGAACAAGGTAGATACTTTCTGAGAAATGGATTTCATCCCCATATGAAAAAGCAGAATTATGTAGAATTATGTAGTGTCTGAAGACCTTTTATTATGTTTGTTTTTGTTTTCATAGGTTCTTTGTTAAAAGCCACCCTTAAAATTATGCAATTATATCTTTCTCAATTATGTGCGTGTTATTGTCTCAAATGAGGTGAAAGATTATGATTGGATGTTACAGTGGGACCTTAATTTCAGCCCGTAGGAAAACAGTAAAAGAGGTCATCCCATATATGAAGGTTACTTCAAAAAGTTTGTGGAAAAATAGAATTAAAAGATAATACAAATGTTTCCATGAACTTTCTGAAGACCCTTTGTACACTGCATCCACAGTGCACTGGTGGTGCTTGTTGAGGCTCTGCTGTAGGTCATAGACAGCCTATTACTGAGTGATCTTATGTATATTTCCCTCAGAGTCCTGAAGTTACCCAGCCAGATGAAGATCTTCACCTTCAGGCAGAAGAAACCAAATTGGTAAAGGTAATACCTACCATTTTATGTAAGAGGAATAAAGAGAAAATGCTGCTTTTACTTGCCTAATTCTTAAAGTTCCTAGTTCATTGCAAGTTCGCAATGAATATTTGACAGGTGTGGTAGCCCCAGGACTGGTAGCATCAATTTGACAGATTTTATTTCTCAATATTATTATTACTGCATATAAAAAATTAATAGTGAGCCTCTGTATCATCAAGTTTCAGTTGATATTTGTTTCCCCAGTTGATTTAGGCATAATTGGTTAACATGTATCTTAGTGTCACTTTTAGTGTAGATATTTCCCCTTCCTTTTTCTCCTTTTGTAATCGTTTATTGAAGAAACCAGGTTATTTGAACTTTAGAGCTGTGTTGTCCAGTGCAGAAGCCATTAGCCACATGTGACTATTGGCCACCTGAATTGTGACTAGTCCGAATTGAGATGTGCGGTAAATTTAAAATAACATACCAATTACAAAGACTTAGCATGATAAACTAATGTAGATAATGTCGTTAATAATCTTTATATTGATTGCATGTTGAAATTATAATATTTTGTATAATTGGGCTAAATAAACCATATTACCAAAATAAACTGTATTACTGTTTCCATTTTTAATGTGGCAAATAGAAAATTTTAAATCACATATATGGCTTGCATTATATTTCTATTGGATGGCGTTGATTTAGAATTTTACACACAATGAGTTTTAGTGATTGCACCCCCATGGGATTATTTAACATGCCCCCTCTACCCCTGTATTTCCTTTAAATTGTTAGATTCTTGATGAGATTCAGATTTTTATTTTTAAAAAATATTTTTTGCAATATTATTTCATATTGCTGGTATATACCACCAGAAGATACATAATGCCTAATTCAAGCCTTTTCTCATGTTAGCAGCCCCTGATGATCGTTTAATTTATTAGAGGTTGCAAAATGGTGATGTTGTAATTCCTGCATTCCTTCTTCATTTATTAGCTGGAGTACTTGCATAAAGAGAACCCTCCCCTCATTAACTAATTTAATTACATTTGATTACTATAACAACTATGTATAGTTTACATATGAAAAGGACAAAAGGTTGATTCTTTCTCTTTATTTACCAATTTCCAGGCATTCTCCAAAGATGATCAAAGAGTTTTTTTTAATAGTTTATTATGAACTCATGAATATAAATGTTATCAGATATTTTTGAGATCTGTTACAGTTATTATCCTTATTAATGCTCAAATTGTCCTGTCCTTAGGCAATGGAAGCCTCTTCAAGTTGTCTCCAGTGTCTTGGACATGACCCTAGTAATGTTCAATAGCTTCATAATGTTCCTGGCTCTGGTTTCTTTTGATGGGAAGTAACATTTAGAGGCTGCAGTCTGGCTTGCATAATGCTACCTAATTGATTGTTGTTTCTAGCGCTTTTCAGTAGCTAAATCTAGGAAATGTGTGGTTTTTTTCCTTAAACATAAAATATGAATGTGTACTGATGCTTCCATATCAAATTGACAACTATGGAGTTTTTAACCTAATCTCATCAATAGTACATTTATATCTTCTTCCTCTCATGCTAAATTCATTAGTTCTCAATGATATCAATATGCTAATTTGCTTTATCCAACACTCCACACACAACACTTACAGAATAGCATTTCTGTCACTACTACCAAAATGATTATTTACTGAAAAAGTTTTGTTTTTGTTTTTCGTTTGTTTTTCTCCTCAGGATATTTCTCACAAGCGATATACAGAAAAATTACTGTCTTAAAGTCACTCAAAATAGTTCCTCTCTTATGAATGGGTATGCTACCAACTTGTTTCATTTTACTTTTAATTTTTAGGGATTGCTTTTTTTAAATTTAATTTTTGTTTTATAATAATATAAAATATTTACAGGGTTCAAAAGTCAAATCTACAAAACGGGAAATAGTACAAGGCGACTAGCTTCTACTCCAGTACTCTCAGCTCTTATTTCCTCCTTCCCCCAATAGGTAATCATTAAAAAATTTTATTGCTCATTCTTCCATTTTTTATACAAGCATATATATTAGGGGTCTTCAAAAAGTTTGTGGAAAGACTCAAATTATCTTTCTTTTTTTTTTTTTTTCCTTTTTGTCTTTTTTCATGACCGGTAACGGGATCGCAACCCTCGGTGTCGCGCCCGTACCACGACCAGCAATGGGATCGCAACCCTCGGTGTTGCGCCCGCACCGTGCTCAACCAGTGAGCGGACCAGTCCCTATATGGGATCCGAACCCTTGGCGGGAGCACCACCACACTCACAAGCGCCGCACTCTACCGAGTGTGCCACCGGGCCGGCCCTCAAATTATCTTTCAATTCCATTTTTCCATGAACTTTTTTTTTTCTTTCTTCTGACCAGTAAGGGGATTGCAACCCTCGGCACAATGTTGTCTGCGCCAATGCTCAGCCAGCGTGTATAGGCCATCCCTATATAGGATCCGAACCCACGGCCTTGGCACTTACCAGTGCCACACTCTCCCAAGTGAGCCACAGGGCCGGCCGTTCCATGAACTTCTTCAAAAAGTTCATATATATTGTATAGCCTCACCAAAGAAGTTCCCTCAGTGTCCTGTGACTTCTTACTTTTCATTCTCAAAGAGAGCTTATAGTATTCTGTATCTACAATCTGAATGATAAAATAAATCTTTTATTAATATTTTATATTTTATTAATATTGATATTTATTTTATTAATATTGATGTTTTAGGTAGGCTAGGGTTTTGGAGGAAACTACTAGCTGTCATCAAATATTTCAAAGACTTTCTAGGGAGGGAGGAAACCATGCTGTTTGACTCCAGATCATAATATAGCAGGACCAATATTTAGAAATTATAGAAAGCCATATTTGAATTGATCTGAAAAAAAACTTGCTATCAGGTGAAACTCTGAAGATGGAATAAGCTTCCTCTTATGGTTTCGAGTTCATGTTATATCGTGTAAAGGTTGAACTGGTTGACCTACATAATCATTTTGTGATTCTGATTTCTGTGGTTCTTCCCCAGTTTTTGTACATATTATTCTGCCTGACAGGTCTGATTGTGTAGTCTCTGTGTGATCACAGTGTATTTATTTTAGGAATCAGTGACATTTAAGGATGTGGCTATAGACTTCACATTGGAGGAGTGGAGGTTGATGGACCCTACACAGAGGAACCTGCACAAAGATGTGATGCTAGAGAATTATAGGAATCTCGTCTCTCTGGGTAAGGATAACTTCTCTTCTGTGTTGATGTATCTACCCATTTGACCAGGTGTGCTAAATATATAAAGCTTCTAAAGTTCTTAACTGAATTTTGGTTTAGAATTTAGGTATCAGTATCTTTTAGTCTTAGGGGCACATTGTTGGGATTTATGCTGTTTCTTACTCTGAATTAAGTGGTCTTCCATTGTAGAGTACGAAATACATATTTCGTTGGAATCTTGGAGATTGTTGGCATTCCCACAGATTTAGGGCTGAAGATTTTTCTAGCCACTTCCATAAATAGGAGTTATTATTAGTGCCTCTAGAAAGAATAAAACAAATGTGTTCATTTTCCTTCTAAATTCAGATTATTCCTTTGATTTATTATTCCACCAAATTGGGATTGTAGTGTTGAGCTCCTCTGAGATATCTTTGTAAATTCTATAGAACATTACTGTACAATAAAACATTCTGCTGTGATAGGAATGTTCTATCTGTGCTGTCCAATGTGGCAGGTACTAGCCATTTATGGCTTTCGAGCACTGGAAATTTGGCTAATCTGTCTGAAGAACTGAATTTTAAATTTTACTTAAATTGATGTAAATTCAAATTTAGATAACCATGTTATTGGCAACTGCATTGGAAACTGCAGCTCTGAAACTTCCTGTAATTGCCACTCTGCACAGAAGATTAAGAACTGAAACCGAATTTGGTAATAGTTCTTGCTCATAGTTCCAATCAAATCCTATTTATTTTTCTGTGAACAGGGCTTGCAGTTTCCAAACCAGACATGATATCTCATTTGGAGAATGGGAAAGGACCATGGGCGGTGGTAAGAGAAATTTCAAGAATCCCCTATCCAGGTGAGTTAATCAGAACTAGTAATGTGGAGTTTATTTCAAGTAACAGGTCATGGGGGGATGTTCAGGAGAACATCTGAAATATTTTGGAGGGTATCTTTGCTCAAAGTTGTCTCAGAAGAAAAGACCCCCTCACTGCTCATCCCTTTCACACCCCTCTTCTCTCTCCATCTCTCTCCTCCATTTTTGGTTCCCTGCCCCATCTTACTCTACTTTCTTGGGGATATGATTTTATAATTAGGTATATCCTCTCCAGTTAACTTTACGTTTACCATTATCTGACATTTTCCTTCTCTTCCTTCATTTTCCCAAAAATACTTTCTTAAGGGTTACTACTGATTTCTTTTCAGCTAAAACCTACTCATTATAGGTTCACCTGCAAGCCTACTGAAACTTTGCGGGAACCCTCTTCCTCTCTTCTAGGTTCTTAACTAATTGAGAATACAAGCAAGGAATCAGTTGAGAATCAAAATACAGTATTCATTTATTTAATCAGTATTTATTACTCACATATGCTGTGAACTGGGTCAAGTATTAGTGCTACAGCAGTGAATAAGATGGATCAGGTTCCTGCCCTCATGAAGATTAAATTTTGAGAAACAGATAATTAACAAGCAAATAAACAAAAGCAAACTAAATAATGGTTGTACTGTCTTTTAGGTATGAGATAAACTGGGGGATATGAAAGAGTAACTGGGTTGGGGATGAGGGTGCCTCTTGTAGATGGGATGGTCAGGGCAGGCTTCTGAGGAGATGAGCTGTAAGCTGAGACCTGAAGAGTCAGAAGAATCCAGCCAGGGGAAGAGGAGAAGAGAAGAAGCATTTTAGGCAAAGGGAAGAACATCAGAGCAAAGGACCTGATATGGAAAAGAATGTAATGTGTTCTAGAAATCAAAAGGAAGCTGCTGTGACTGAAGATAAGAGAGGGGAGACTGATATGGAATCAAATTAGAGAGACAGGAGCCCACCTATGCGGTGCTTTGTAGGTGATGGTAAGGAATTTGGATTTTAATCTGGGTGAAAAAGCATGGAAAGATTTTAATTTAGGATTTTTAGAAGACAACCCTGTTTATGTAGATTGAACTTAAGAGCATAAAGCAGGCAGTAAGTTAAGAGGTTGTTACTGGCCGGCCCGGTGGCGCTGGCTGGCCCGGTGGCGCACTGGATGGTGCGCTGCTTGGGAAGCGCAGCGGCGCTCCCGCCCGAGGGTTCGGATCCCACATACAGATCGGTTCCCGCTCGCTGGCTGAGCGAGGCGCGGGAGCAACACCGAGGCTTGCAATCCCGTTGCTGGTCCCTGGTCCGGTACGGGGGCAACACTGAGGGTTGCGATCCGTTGCCGGACACGGAAAAAAGACAAAAGACAAAAAAAAAAAAAAAAGAGGTTGTTACATAGTCCAGGCAAGAGATGATAGTAACTATGATTAGGGTGATGGTGTGGATATGGAAAGAAATAAATGGATTCTAGTTCATCTGATTATTCATTTTATTATGGTGCCATCCATAACTCACATGTGTTACATATATATTTTTTTCTATATCAAATATATATAATTAAAAGAGTAAATGAAAGGTAGATATTGGAGGTAGTTTTAGACAACTCTCCAGAGAAAGGATTTTTTTCCTCTGAGAGGAGGGAAAGAGAGAGATGGGGCAGCAGCTAGAGGAAAGTATGGATGGAGTCAAGGAAAACTCTTGTTTTACTTTTGAGATGGGAGTTTCTATGGCATGTTTGAGTGCTGATAGGAATGCATCACCGGAGAGGGAGAAATTGGTGTGGCAAGACACAGATGGGACCACTGAAGGACTAAAGTGTTTGGGAAGGTGAAAGGAGATAAAATCTAGGCTGGAAAAGGAGATGTTTACCTTTGATATGTGGGGAGGTTTACCTCTTCTGCTGTAACACTAGGAAAGGTGGAAAAGGTGGATGCAGAGGTAAGTCAATTGGTGGTGAAGACTGGGGAATCTACTATGATATCTTCCATATTCTCTAAAATATGAGGCAAGGTTATCAGCTTATATTGTGGAAAGAAAGAGTTGAGAGAGAGGGAAAGTTATATTTTTATGGTACATAGAATTCAACAGGGAAGCCCTCTTGGCCTGAAGCTTTTATTATGGAAGGTGTTTAATTATAGCTTCTGTATCTTTAGTACGTATAGGACTATTCAAATTTCCTATTTATTTTTGTTTGGGGTCTTATTTATGAAGTCTTTGCCAAGTCCTACTTCCTGAAGTGTTTCCCCTTTGTTTTCTGTTAGGATTTTTATAGATTCTGGTGCTATATAAAAGTCTTTAATCCATTTTGGGTTGATTTTGGTATACAGTGAGAGGTACAGATCTAGTTTCATTCTTCTACTTATGGATGTCCAGTTTTCCCAGTACCATTTATGAAGAGGCAGTCTTTTTCCCAGTGTGTGTTCTTGTTGTATTTGTCAAAGATCAGTTGGCTGTAAGTACATGGGTTGATTTCTGGGTTCTCTATTCTGTTCCATCAGTCTGAGTGTCTGTTTTTATGCCAGATCCATGCTGTTTTGGTTACTATAGTTTTGTAGTATAATTTGAAGTCAGGTAGTGTTATGTTTCCAGTTTTATTTTCCTTTGCTCATGATTGCTTTGGCTATTTGGGGTCTTTTGTTTTTCCATATGAATGTTAGGATTGTTTTTCTATTTCTGTGAAGAATGTCATTGGTATTTTAATGGGGATTGCCTTGAATCTGTAGAGTGCTTTGGATAGTATGGACATTTTCACAATTTTATGCTTCCAATCCAAGAGCGTGAAATGTCTTCTGTCTTTTTGTGTCCTCTTTAATTTCTTTAAACAGTGATTTGTAGTTCTCATTATAGAAATCTTTCATCTCCTTGGTTAAATTGATTCCTAGGTGTTTTTTTTCTTTTTCTTGTTTGGTGACTGTGGTAAATGGGCTTGCTTTCTCGATTTCTTTTTCTGCTAATTCATTATTGGAGTATAAAAATGCTACTGATTTTGGCATGTTGATTTTGTTTCCCGCATCTTTACTGAAATTGTTATCACCTCTAAGAGTTTTTTGATACAGTCTTTAGGTTTTTCTGTATGTCATCTGCAATTAGGGACAGTTTGGCTTCATTTTTTCCAATCTGGATACCCTTTATTTCTTTCTCTTACTTGATTGCTCTTCCTAGTACTTCCAGTATTATGTTAAATAGGGGTGGTGAGTGGGTATCCTTGTCTTGTTCCCATTCTTAAGAGCTGAGAGCTTTTCCCCATTCAGGATAGTATTGGTGGTGGGTTTGTCATATATGGCTTTTATTGTTTTGAGATGCTTTCCTTCTATACATAATTTGCTGAGAGTCTTTATCATGAAGAGAAGCTGAATTTTGTCAAATACTTTTTTCATCTATTGAGATAATAATATGGTTTTTGTCCTTGATTTTGTTGATGTGGTATACATATTTATGGACTTGTGTGTGCTGAACCATCCTTGCATCCCTGGGATTAATCCGACTTGATCATGGTGTATAATTTTTTTGATGTGTTGCTGTATTCTGATTGCTATATTTTGTTGAGGATTTTTGTATCTATGTTCATCAAAGATATTGGCCTGTAGTTTTTTTTTGTTGTATCTTAGTCTGGTTTTAGTATCAGGGTGATGCTGGCCTCATAGAATGAGTTTGGGAGAATGGCCTTTGTTTCAATGTTTTAGAATAGTTTGAAGAGAATTGGTATTAATTCCTCTTTAAAGGTCTGGTAGAATTTAGCAGTAAAGCTATCCAGTCCTGGGCTTTTTTTTGTTGGGAGATTGCTGATTAGTGCTTCAGTCTCAATGCCTGTTAGTTGTCAGTTTAGGTTTTCTAGCTCTTCTTGGTTCAATCTTGGTAGTTTGTATGTGTCCAGAAATGTATCCATTTCCTCTAGGTTTTCAAATTTGTTGGCATATTGTTGTTTATAATAGCCTCTAATGATTCTTTGTATTTCTGTGGAATCAGTTGTAATGTCTCTTTTATCATTTATGATTTTTGTTGTTTGGATCTTCTTTTTTTTTTGTTAACCTAGCTAATGGTTTGTCTATTTTGTTTATCTTCTCAAAAAGCCAAGTTTTTGTTTCATTAATCTTTTTTTTATCATTTTTGGGGGTCTCTATTTCATTTAGTTCTGCTCTGATCTTAACTATTTCTTTCCATCTACTGATTTTGCAATTGGAGTGTTCTTGTTTTTCTAATTCTTTGAGGTGTATTGTTACTTTTTTATTGAGATCTTCCTATTCTTTTGACGTAAACATTTACTGCAATAAACTTGCCTGTTAACACTGCTTTTATTGTATCCCACAGGTTTTGTATGGTGTGTCCTTACTTTCATTAATCTCAAGAAATTTTTTGATTTCCTGTTTAATTTATTCTTGGACCCATACATAGTTCAGAGCATGTTGTTTAATTTCCATTTATTTGTATAGTTTCCAGAGTTTCACTTATTACTGATTTCTAGTTTAAATCCATTGTTGTCTAAAAGGATACTTGAAATCATTTCAGCTTTTTAAAAATTTGTTGAGACTTGATTTGTGACCTAACATGTGATCCATCCTAGAGAATCCATGTGTTCAGAAGCACATTCAAGAAGAATGTACATCCTGTAGTTGGATGAAATGTTCTGTAGATATCTGCCAGGTCCAGTTGGTATAAAGTGTAGTTTAAATCTTGTGTTTCTCTGCTGATTTGTTGTCTAGATGATCTGTCCAATGCTGAGATAGGGGTGGTTAGGTCCCTACCTGTTGGGGTCTATCTCTTTCTTTAGGCCTAATAATGTTTGCTTTATATACCTGGGGGCTCCAGTGTTGGTTGCCCCCAACACTTCATATATATTTTTGATTGTTATGTCTTCTTGCTGAATAGATCTCTTTATAATTATGTAATGACCTTCTTTGTCTCTTTTTATGATTTTTTGTGTAAGGTCTGTTTTATCCAATACAAGAATAGCTACTCCTGCTCAATTTTAGTTTCCATTTGTGTGGTATATCTTTTTCTATCCTTTC